GTAGTAGTAGTAGTAGTAGTAGTAGTAGTAGTAGTAGTAGTAGTAGTAGTAGTAGTAGTAGTAGTAGTAGTAGTAGTAGTAGTAGTAGTAGTAGTAGTAGTAGTAGTAGTAGTAGTAGTAGTAGTAGTAGTAGTAGTAGTAGTAGTAGTAGTAGTAGTAGTAGTAGTAGTAGTAGTAGTAGTAGTAGTAGTAGTAGTAGTAGTAGTAGTAGTAGTAGTAGTAGTAGTAGTGGTAGTAGTAGTAGTAGTAGTAGTAGTAGTAGTAGTAGTAGTGGTAGTGTTTGTAGTAGTAGTGGTGGTGGTCGTAGTAGTAGTAGTAGTAGTAGTAGTAGTAGTAGTAGTAGTGGTGGTGGTGGTGGTGGTGGTGGTGGTGGTAGTAGTAGTAGTAGTAGTAGTAGTAGTAGTAGTGGAAGAAGAAGAATTTGAAGTAGTAGTAGTAGTAGTAGTAGTAGTATTTTTTGGATTTCGGGGGCCCTCGACGGGACCAGGGCCGTCAACAAGCAAGCGCTCGAGAAGTCGGTCCCCAGGCAAGAGGTCCAGACCCAGACAGCCGGCGCTCCAATCCTTTCGATGCGTGGACCCCCGGAGGTCTGGACCGCTTCCCGAGGGCCAGTTCTTCCTCCCGAGTCGCTTTTTGACAGTCCTGGGGCCCGTTGCCAAAGATAGCCCCACACCGGATCTCGGGGGACGCCTCTGGAGCCTCGCTGCGAGGTGTTCACGACGTCGGATGTTTGGGAAGGCCGCTGGCGGGATGCCGGGCGCATCCGCCAGCTCCGGCCCGACGGGCTGGACGGGGGCCTGGCCGGCAGGCCTGAAGCCTGGCTCGCGGGTGCGCCTGGAGGGCCTCACTGCCGAGGAGGCGCGGTTCAACGGCGTCTCCGGGACCCTGCGCGGTGCTGACCGCGATGGCTCGCGCCTTCTGGTGGAGGTGCCTAGGCCTCCCAGATGGGCTCCGAGCAACTGGGGTCGGAGGATCGCGCCGCATCGCCATGTATCGGCGACGCGGCTCGGTGTGGAGCCCGATTTCCTCCACGCCGACGTCGCCGATGCATCGGCGATGCTTTGGCGATGTGATCTTCCGACCCCATCCGCTCGGACCCCACTGGGGAGGCCTCTAAGGTGAGGGGCGAGGCGAGGATGTTCCGACCGAAGCACGTGGCAGCGCTGGAGGGCCAGCATCGGAGGGCGCCTGCAACCACATCTGCACGGATCCTGACCGGGCCGATCCTGGGCCCAGGATCAGAGTGAGTGTCACACATACAGATATACATACCGCAATCGATAACTACATACATACATGACTATACATACACATGCGTACATCGATACATACGAAAATACATATTTTCATCCGCCCATACATACATACATACATACATACATGCATGCATACATACATACATACATACATACATACTTACATGCACACACACATACACATACATACGTACAACCATATTTACACACATACATACCTGCATGCATACATACATACATACATACATACATGCATACATACATACATACATACACACATCTATATATATACACATACATACATACGTACATACACACATCCAGACACTCATCTATCTACATACCTTCAGATATATATATATACACATACATAACTACATATATACATATATACAAACCTACATACGTACATACAACCATACACATACATCCATTCCCACATACCTACATACACACATACATACATACATACATGCATGCTTGCATACATACATACATACATACATACATACATACATACATACATACATACATACATATACACACACTTACAAACATACCCACGTACATACACATACATACATACATACATACATACATACATACATACATACATCGGTACATACACACATACATACAGACATACAGACAGACAGACAGAGAGACAGACAGACAGACAGACAGACAGACAGACAGACAGAGAGAGAGACAGACAGACAGACAGACAGACAGACAGACAGACATACACATACATACATACACACATACATACATACAAACAAACAAACGCTTATATATATGTGTGTGTTTAGATGTGCATGCATGCATGCATGCACACATCCATAAAGGCATACACCTATACATATATATATATATATATATATAAATATTTATATGCTCACCAGGCACCCTCCAATGGATCGCTCCTGGGCCTCAGGGGAGGGTGGCAGTGTGCAAAGCACCACAGAGAGCCAGCGACTTCACACCTTCGCACTCCCTCGGGGGACAGGCAGAGTTCGTCGGAGGGCGTCAGTGTGTACATTTTCGTGGCGTAGAGTGAGTGCCTTGGCACCCCTGATACGCCCGTGCTGAAACGCAACACGTACCGTGTTCAAAACGTCCGTGTTAACACGCTGCTTGTTGGCTGGGCACGTGGTGGTCCGCGTGTTGGCGAGCGTATCGTGCCAGAGCTACGCGTTCAGTCTACGTGTTGACCTCCGTGCCAACAGCTACGGGTTGCGTGTTGCGTATCGGGGCGGCTAAGGTGAATGCCCCGATCGAAAGAGTCATACCGTCGGCTTAGCTGCCTTGATACGCCCGTTTCGATACGCAACACGTACCGTGCTCAAAACGTACGTGTCAATACGTTGCGTGTTGGCTCAACGTATCGGCCCGCGTTTTGGCGAACGTATCGCGCGAGACCTACGTTTTCAGTCTACGTGTTGAGCTCCGTGTCAACACGCTGCGGCTTGCGTGTTGCGTATCGGGGCAGCTAAGACCGCCGGATATCTGGATGCCCACACATCCACCGCTCCAACTTTTCGGGTGTGTGGACCCCTGAAGGTCTGGAGCACTTCCCCAGAGCGGCTTTTCTTCTTGGGCCGGTTTTTGACAGCCTCGGGTCCCGGCGAGGGCCCCAGGGGGCCGAAAACCGTCCGTTGCGTTTTTCTCACGACGCGAGCATGTTTGCGTCTGGCCCAGCCATCTGGCGCTGGATTTTTTTTCGATGCGTGGACCGCCAGAGGTCTGGACCCTTTCCCCAGGGCCGGTTTCTCATCCTGAGTCGTTTCTTGACAGTCCCGGGGCCCGTTGAGGGTCCCCATGGATTCAAACATAGCCCCGAGCTGGCAGCTCCAATTTTGGTCGGCGCCTCGGATCTCTGGGGGTGTATGGTTGGCGCCCTCCTGCAGCAGCCCGGCCAGGCGGCGGGAGGCACGGCCACTCGCAGTGGGGGGTATGGGGAGGGGGAAGGCTTCTTAGAAGGAGGCTGCTTCTCAGGAGGCGTAGGCCTTGTCTATAGATGCAAGGCCGGCGCCTTCTAAGAAGCAGCTCCTTCTGAGAAGCCTTTCCCCGACGTCGTGATCTTTTCGTAACGTCATGCCCCAGAGGTCTCGACCCATTCCCCGAGACCAGTTTTTCATACTGAGTCGTTGTCTGACGGTCTCGAGGCCTGGCAGGGGCCCCCGGGGGTCGAAAATAGCGAACAGCCTCCCGTCGTGTTTTCTCTCGACTCGAGGGGGTCTGGGTTCTAAGAAGCCCTCCCTCTCCCGATACCTCGATGAAAGCATGAACGAGCCCACCGCGCCATCTCCGTCCCAAGCGCCTCAGGTGGGCAAGTCCCCATGGGCACCCCCCAGTTCCGCACGGGGAGCCCTGGACCCCGCTCCCCCCTCCTCCTGCCCGTCTTCCTCCTCGCCTCCTCGATCCCCCCGCCCTTCGTTGTCTGATCGTGCAGGAACCAGGGCAGGAGGAGGAGGCGGAGGAGGAGGAGGAGGATGAGGAGGCGGAGGGATAGAACGCTGCGCGCCCCGTGCCTGCAGTCCGATCGACGTCAACAAAAAGGAGGACGATGAGGAGGAGGAGGAGGAGGAGCAGCAGCAGGAGGGATCTCCTTTTGGGAGCCTCTGGGGGCACTCTTGGGGCCTCCCGGGAGCTTCCTGGCGCGTGCCACTCGCTTGCGCGTCCCCGGGGCCCCCTGCACCCCTCCGCGCCCCCACGAGGCACGGGCGGCGGCGCGCCGTCGGCCGCCCAGGCGGCGGCGCCCGCGGGGACGGCCCGCGGGCGCGGCGCCGCGCCCAGCGGCCCTGGAGCGCTGCGCGCGGACGAGCCGCTGCCCCCGCTCCCGGGGCAAGGCTCGGGTGGCGCGAAGCTCACTGCGGTCAGAACCGCTAGCTCGCCGTGGGGGGGGGGGGGGAGCGGGTCCCGAGGGGAAGGGGTCCTCATGCTGCTCGCCGTCATTCGGGCTCTCGGGGCCCTCCACGGCCCCAGGGGCTGTCAGAGAGCGATCCGGGATGAAGGAACTCGTCCTGGGGGAAGGCCCCGGGGTCCAGGACCCGCTTCCCACAGGGCCCGTTTCACTCATGGCTCCTTGGGCAAGGCTCGGGGGCCGCGGGAGGGGGGAAGCAAAGAAAGGGGGAGGAGCTATGGGGGAGGCAGGAGGTGAGCAGACTCTTCCCTGACAATTTTGCTGTTCTCGTCGCCCCCTGGAGGGTCGAGGCCCATTCCATCAGCTAGAGCTCGATGAGAGCTTCAAGACGGCGGCACAGCTGCGCCAACCAGCCTTCTTTGGGGTCGCACGAAAGTCATTACAAAGCTGATATTAAGGATGCGCAGTAAGGATGCAAGCCCCTTGTACGTCCATGTCGATGCTTTTCGAGCGGGGCTGGCCATCGAGAGCGGTCAAGGCTGGACCGACGAGGCAAGGATGCAATTGTGCCCTTGGGAAGGTTACCCATCCTTATCATCGATTTCGACTGTAACTTACAACTTGGAGCCGGCTGAGAGCCTGAGGTGGCACAGCACTTGTTCCGGCCATCAGGAAGGGGGGAGGTTCGAGGTTCTGGATTCGAACTGCTGTTTTGTCATTTTCGGTCTCGGGGGTTCGTTTTCGGGCCCTGTGGCCGTAAAATCGGATCTGGAGTGCAAAACTGCAGCAGATAGACCCCAGGAGGGGGGCACCGATTTTGAGCGGATTTGCTTTCATCCCCCCTATTTGGCAGACTGTCTCGGGGCCTAACCAGTTCAGACCCCCCGGCCGCCTCCACTTTCCATCCCCGAAGACGCGAGCGCCAAAACAGAGCGCAGGCTCCTTGCGGTTTCGGGGAGGGAGGCTTCGGGGCGGGGTTGTGCCTTGCTTGCAACGATAAGACCCAAAACATAGTCCCAAATCTTTGGCCGATTCTCGAGTCCTGCGTCAACCTTCGATTCTATAGGCTTACGCCACATCCGCCGACCCCTATATAAACGATTATGCCGCCAGGACTGCATTCCACGAGGCTTGTCCGAATCATGACACGGCGCTCGACATTGTTCCTGTTGCTTCGTTGCTGTTACCGTACCTCTCGGTGCTCTTTTGTTACCTTTTGGTGGCATCTTGGCTTGTCTGCAGGCGATATCCGGCCGCCTCGAGGCATATTGGGCCAAGTTTTGGGGCCTCTTGGGGGCTTTCTGGGGGCTTCTTGGCGGCTTTTGAGGTTCTCTTGGGGGTCCTTCAGGGCCTCTTGGGGTGTTCTTGGGGCAGGCTGGGGGCGTCTTGGGCCGACGGCTCGAAAAGGTGTCCTCTGGACTCCGTCTTGGAGCCGTCTGGGGGCCCTCTTGGGCTGTCTTGGGGGCTTCGTGGGCTGTTGTTGGACACTGTTCGACCCGTCTTGGGAGCCCCTTTGGCCGTCTGGGGGCGATATTGAAGGTTTCTTTGCCCGTCTGGGACGCTGTGAAAACCGAATTGGCGAGCATGCGACAAATGTTTGTTTTTTTTTCAGAGGAAATGTGACGATTTCTGTTTCTTGGGACCCTCTTGGGGCGCATCTTGGGGGCCTTTTGGGGCGTCTTGGCAGCTTCGGAGGCCGCCTGGAGGGCATCGTGGGCGTCCAGGCGATTTTCGTCGAATCGTGGCCCTCTGTGACCGTCTGGGGAGCGTTTTGGTGCCTTCTTGGCCAGTTTTGGAGCCCTCCGCTCCCCCGTGACGCGTTCGGTCTGGGGTCGCTCTCGGCCAAGGGGGGGGGGAGGTCAAATTCTTTACGCTTTGCGTATCTCCACCAGCCCATCTCACAACAGCAACTCTTGCGAAGCATGCCGACAGTTGTGTTTTTCAGGCGTGTGTCCGCTTTGCCCCGCATATCTCCCCTGCTCCTCCTTCATCCCGCCTCCTTGTACATCCTCCTTGTGGGGGCAGCGGGAGAAGGACGAGGCGGAGGAGGAGGGAGAGAAAACGCTCCTCGTGGTTTGAGTCGTTTGGGGTGTCTCGTCCTGGTGTGAGTCGTTCGGGCCCTTCTTCC